ATATATATTTATGTGTATATATATATATATATTTATGTGTGTATATATATATATATATATATATATATATATATATATATATATATATATATATATATATATATATATATATATATATATATATATATATATATATATATATATATACAGACACACATATATTTGTACTTTGCATAAAACCATTAAATCTTGAGATATTCTTGCATTGAAGATTTTTATCTTTTATAATATACCAATTAATGTTTTTATAAGATTTGTTGCTAGTAAAATAGCCACAAAATAGCTTTGATATTTTTTTATAATGAAATAAGGTTAAACACAACTGTATTAAGCATTGATCTTTTTTAATGTAAATATTTAAATATTGACTTTCATCTTCTTTAGAAGAAAAAGTTGATTTCTTTGAGTCGAGCTTTAGTAATATGAGAAACTACTATATTATGCCTAAAGAAGGATTTGCCAATGAAAAGCTCTTATCTGGTTGATTTATTGAAGGTAGTAAACCTGTCGATCCAACAGTTATCTGATATCATATTTTATTATTAGTTATAATATATTATAACTAAAGATATATTTTTATTTATAATTTGTAAAACTTTTCTTCTTGATTCTTTGTTATAAACATCATCATCGGAAGAAAATATTTCAAATAGAAAAAGATTTATACTTCTTAGAGAAGTTCCAGAACCAAATATGTAACAATTAAGACGAGGCATTTGCAAAAATCAAGGATAAACCAATAATCTTCTTGTAAGTATTCTTCTTAATGCGCATTTGTTTACAAAAAGTGTGCACTCATTGGTATACTGGGTTTTAAAAAAAAAGCTAACAATATGATAATCAATAGCGCTCTTAAACTGGCCGGGTTATGTATTATATGACTATGATTTAATAGTGCTTTTAGCATTTCTATTTATTAATATTTGTTAAGTATTACTTAAAGTTAAGATAATAATTTACTTTCTTATACAATACATAGTTATATAATCATTATATAACTATGTATTGTAAAAGAAAGTAAGTTATTATCTTAACTTTAAGTAATAACAAATGTTAATAAATATAGTTGCTAAAAGTACTATTAAATGTGTATTAAAAAAAATAAAAAAAAAAAAAGAGATAACAATACAAATTCTATAATTTTAATTCTTAATTTCCAATAAGTTAAAAAAAAAAAACACATTACACTAGTTATAACTAAGCTTATTAGGTAATTTCTAGTCTAGAACTAGTTCCACAAGAAACTTAAAATAACAAAAATTTTCCATTCAAATAAATAAAAATATATAATGTATTAAGACAGCTGAATCATAACAGCTATCTAATATAATCTAATACCAAAGTCTTGACATAGATTAGTACATTACAAAAATCGCTCATAAACCTGATTGAATCCCGTAATATTTTAACGGAAGCAGTTGACATGGACACCTAGTTGACATAATTAATTATTAATAATAATTAACAATAAATGACTTTGCCAACGCATTTAACACAGTTTCACACAGTGACTACTTTATAAGGCTCATGCCTAAGACATTTGAGACTAGCTATTAAACTGAATCTGAAACTGACGCCGCTTGTCACCAAGTGTATGGGTGACAAGTAACGTCCCTCAAGAATCAGTTTTTGCATCATTGCTATTTTTGGTCTTCATCAACAACTAACCAGACTGCATTTATAACCATATTGAATTATACCCCGATGATGGTAACATCATTTGAGTGATCAATATCGCTGGTTATGAAAAACTTACGCAATCTAATTCTTTTTTTTTTTTTTTTTTTTACATTTTGCAGTTTAATATTACAATAACTAAATATATTTTACAATCTTTACATTGTAACGACAGGACTTCTAGAAGATCATGAGGATCTTGTCATGAAGCTCTTTACAATATATTGTTAATTTTTAATAAAATTACAATGTCTGTAGTGAAATAATAATAATACACCTTTATGCTAAAATATATAAAAATCATGATAAAATATTAATAAGCCAAGATAAATTGTTTAACCAAATAATATACAAAATAAAACAACAACAACAACAACAGCATAAACAACAACAACAAAAAAAGCAATTAAAAATAAATTAAGATATTTTCAATTAAAAATATAATTTTTTTAAGTTTCTGTTTGAATAAAGCAAAAGTCAGTTGGGTGGAAAAATCAAAATTTGACTATTTTGTTCCAGAGATAAGGACCTCGGTAAGAAACAAAAAACTGGTCTTTGCTTTTACAGTAAGAAAAAGAAAGACGTCGAATCGTTGTTGTAGTTTGGTTGGATTTCGGTCGCGACGCAAGTTAACTTTTTTTTTTCCTGTTTACATAACATAAGAATTTGTAAAATTCTTATGTTATGTAAACAGGAAAAGAAAAAAAAAAAAAGTTGTCACGTGATTGCATTTTTATACCCCGATTCGAAATGGTAGACTTGGCGAAATACATTTAAATACATAAATTACAGGGTTATGCAAAATTATAAAGTGCTTTATGCAAAATTACAAAGTGCTTTATGCAAAACTATAAAGTGCTTTATGCAAAATTATAAAGTGCTTTATGCAAAATTTCGAATCGTTTAATAAATCCATTTAAAGCATAAAAAAGTTCGAATATATGATTTATTTATATATAAGCTCATTTAACATTTAGACTTCAAAAAAATTATATTAATTTAAGCAACTACTTTATTCAAAAATCATATTTTGTTTAGCTTTTTCCAACCATCGTTCCATTGATCTCCAAAATCCACTTAATTCTTCCTTAATTTCACACATTCGATTAAAAATTATTTCCAATGCATCTCTAATATTAATTTCATTATTTAAAGCTTTTATTCCGCGATATCTTGCCTTTATCATGCTAAAAAATTCCTCAATGGGATTTAATTGAGGAGACCATGCCGGTAAATATTCTCTATTTATTCTTAATTCATTTAAAACTTCTATAATACTTCTTGATCTGTGAAATGGAACATTATCCATTATCAGTATATGGTCTGGGTTTTGTCGGAAATAATTACACAGGTTATTTCTTATAAATCTTTCAAAGCTTTCAGCATTATAAGCTCCAGTTCTTAATTCATAAGCAACCACACCAGAAATATTTATTGCACACATCAAACTTCGATTTGTATTTCTGTTTCCGGAAACAATGGAATATGCCTTTTCATTTTTTTGGGAATACCCATATCGTCTTCTCAAATGCTGATTAAATCCTGATTCGTCTAAAAAGACCAATTTATCACTAGAAATACGCGAGATACGGCGGGCATATATGGCCCTTTTTTCAATATTTGCTGGGGAATTTCGTTCTTCGGGAACCAATGAAAGCCTTTTTCGCGTTGTATTTATTTTCCGCAATTTCCTTGATACTGTTGATTGAGATATTACCATACCGGTTGCTGCATTAACTTCATTTACCATTTCATTTTGTGTCAGTTCATTATTTATTGCTATCGTATTAAATAAATTATTTTCAATTTCACTGAACAACAAATTTTTGTTTTTGATTGTTTGCTTGTGGCGTTCTCCCTTAGTAGCAAATTTGATGCCTTCTTGATGATTTCTTATGCAGTTTCTTACAGCACTTTGGCTAATGTTTAAAGTTTCGGCAATGTATTTGGTTGAATGATTATTTATCGAATTAGACATGTTTATAATTGTTTCATGAGTTTCCTTAGTTATCGTTATTCGACTTTTTCTTGCCATGTAAGGTTTTAAATTTTTATTTTTTAACATTTATTTAAAAAACTTGCATTAATTAGATAAAAACGTTACTGATTTGGTTTATGTTTTTCAGCCAGTTAGTCATTTAATTTTTATTTACAATTTAATATTGTATTTTAATTCCTATGCATTCTTAGATGATTCTGAAAATGACCTGTACTATTATAATGGCATTTATTTATTGTTAAATAAAGCACTTTATAATTTTGCATAAAGCACTTTATAATTTTGCATAAAGCACTTTATAATTTTGCATAACCCTGTAACAACATGTTAAAAAGGATTTACTCTTATGCTGTACATTCTTATACCTCGTTTTGACATGACTGCCGTATTAATTGTTTTCGTTTGACGTCAGAGCGACTTAATGGATTGGATAAAATGTTATTTTTTAATCTTGTTATTTGGCATTATAATCTGCAATACAAATATTTGATACATGTTTTTGTATACTTTGTATATTTAACATTACTTGTAAAAATTTCTAACAAATAATATTTCACATGATTTTTTATTTACAAATAAATAATGCAACGATGGGTTTTTTAGCGCTACTCAACTTCCCCCCCCCCCCCTCTGTTTTTATGATAGAGTACATTATACTGATTCTAAATCATATAAAAAATAGGTCTGAAAACTTGAGGAAAGTATTCTAATTTGATGTTAAAGTATAAAAATCCACATTAAAAACGCTAATATTCCACCATCTTTGTCATACTCGGTTAAGATAAAATTCTTTTTCAAAAAAACCCTGGTTTCTATCGACGCTTCAATTTAAAACGCATTTTTTATTGATTTCCTGCCTCAAACCCAAATCATGTACATTTATTTATGTCAATCCCTATTTGTCAGTCGATGTATGTACATTTAATCGCGCCAATTCCTATTTGTCAGTCGATGCATGTACATCATAAAATATAAAAACAACAATAAAAACCGGGTTATAAGTCAAAAAATTAATTACCTAAATTTTAAAAATAGTGTTAAAATGTTTTTAAAAAGATGGTGGAATCAGAGCCGGCACTAGGGTATTTGGCGTCCTAGGCAAAAAAAATTCAACCCCCCCCCCCTCCTCCGAAAAAAAATATTTTAATTTGAAAGAGCAAAAACATAAATATTAATTTTATTTAAAATGGCATAAACATATAAAATGGTGGACATATTTAAGTATTAAATATTTATTTTTGACATTTTAGGATTTCACCCACTCAACTTTTATTTACAAGAATAAAAATATTTGAGATTTTATGACATTCAAAGAATAAAAGTAACATTTAATAGAATTAATGAAGACTATTCCTAATATTTAATCGCACCAAAATAATAATAATTAACCAAGCTTATCTCAAGAAATAATAATAAGTAATAATCTAGAATTAAGAATAAAAATTGAAAACTTGGAATATAATATAGTTACAAAAAATAAAAAAACTTGTTTCTGATTTGATATTTAAATTATTAGAGAATTTGAATTTCAGAAACTAGAAAGTTCATTTGTATTTTGAAAATATGTAATAATAAAAATACAAGCATATTTAAATTTTTATTTTTCTGGCTTTTTTTGTTGCGAATGTTTTTACAATTTCTTTCAAATTTAATATTGATGATTCTTCGAGTTCTATCGAAATTATTGATAATCCCACCAGTCGTTCTTGTAACATTGTCGACCTCAAATAATTTTTAATTATTTTTAACTTCGAAAAACTTCGCTCGCCACTTGCAACGGACACTGGAAGTGTTAATAGTATTCTTAAAGAAATACATATATTTGGTAGACAGTCAATTAAACGTTGTTCAACTATAAAAGTTAGTACTTCATGTGGTGTCATTTGTTGTGGGAGTCTTCCAGAAAGTACTTTGATTTCATTACAAAGATCCGCTGCACTAATATCTTTTTGAGAACCATGAGTTATAATTTCTTCTAGATTTCTACAATTTTTTAATAATTCTGCTGAAGATTTTGAACTTATAGAATAAATATCATGAAGGAAGACAAACATACTACTATACTGTCGCATTTGTTCAAACCTTTCCGCAATAGACTGTATAGCAGTGTCTAAAATTTTAAAATAAAATTCAACTTTAAATTTTATTTTGGATTTTGCAACGCTTCATCTTGTGTTTCATAATCGAACTGTCGCTTTTTTCTCCTTCTCCCGACATGTTTTTCTTCAAAATTTGTTACTGTTTCCAATTCTTTTGCAATTTCAGCTGCATCAACAATAATTCTTTGAAAGCCTTCATCATTTCTCATTTTTACAAGTTTGTTTTTAGTAATATTTAATTGTTGTGTAGCTACATTCAAATCAACTTTCTTATTTTATTAGAAATATTAACTTCAAAAAGAATGTCGTACCATGAAACAAGGGCAACCATGAACTTAAATATGCAAATAGAATTTGCAAGCCCTTTAGCCTCATTTCGGGAAGAGTTTCCTACTGATGTAGTTTGTAATCTTGGATCCTTAAATATTTGCATAAAGCATCGTAAATTTTTCCGAGATTGTATCGTAATGGTTTTAAAGCATTAATGCGGCTTTCCCATCTTGTATCATTTAATGACTTGACAGTAAAATCTGGAAAATATCTACGAAAAACTTGCCAACGAGAAAGTGATCCCGAAAAATAACTATAAATCTGTTGCACCACACCAAAAAAACTTATTGCATCTAAGCTAGACTTGCATGCATCATTCACAACTAAGTTTAGTGAATGTGCGCTGCATGGAATAAAAAACGCCCGAGGATTTATATCCAAAATTTTTCTTTGTACCCCATTCTCCTTACCCTTCATGTTGCTTCCGTTATCGTATCCTTTTCCACGGAGATTTTCAATTGGTAAATTAAATTTTTCCAATTGTTCAATTAATGTTTTTGCCAAAAAACCACCTGTAGATTTCTCCACAGGTATGAATCCTAAGAAATGTTCTTTAATTTTAACTAAATCCCCATCATGCGATGTTGGTGATTCTAAATCAACAAAACGAATTATTATTGTCATTTGATCTGTATGGCTATTATCTGGGGTGCAGTCTAAAATTATAGAATAATATTTAGCAAACTTTACTCTAGTCAAGATATTATCTTTTATAGCATTTGCTAGTATTTGTATTAATTTGTTTTGAATTTCTTTTCCAAGATAATGAGCAGTTTTAATTTCTTGATTTTTAATTTTCCGCACATGTTGATTCATTAATGGGTCAAATAAAGCTAGATACTCAACAAATTTTAAAAAATTACCATTGGCGTTATTGTAAAGCTTTTCATTTGTTCCACGAAATGCCAAGTTTTGCGTAGCCAGTACTCTAAGGCAATTAATCTTTCTAAAATTCGTTGCCAATATTGTTCTTTTTCATTAATTTTTTGTTGGTTAATATGATCAATGGTTTTTTCTGTAGATAAACGTATATCAAGTTCTTTCCACATTTGAAAATTTACGAGATGTGAATAACTTTTTTCATGAGAAGAAAGAAGTGCTCCAATATTCTTCCAATCGTTTAAACCTGAACCTTCTAAAGCCGGCAAACTACTTTTGCTTTTACCAAATAATTTACAACATAAACAAAAAATACATTTTTTGAAACTGAATATATAAGCCAAGAACGAGAGACTTCTTCTCCATTTGGTAATGTCCGCTTGTAATAGATTGATGAAAATTTTCTTTTTTTGTTCATCTCGATCTCGTGGAAAGTTATATTTTTCAATTTGTTGCGGTCTATTTTTTATAACAAATTGCCGAAAATTGTCACTAAAATGAGTAGGCCAATTTGCAGGATCACTGTAGTCTGCAGATGATAATATGCTAATTTGAGTTTCAGTTTCAATTTGTCTTGAAATATTAACAGCAGGAGTTGCTTCAGGTAGATAAATTTGGTTTTGATTGATATTTACAACTTCATTTTGTTGATTTGAAATATTAGCATTATTAACAGTTTTATCGTCAACTATTACTTTAGATTTTTTACTCACACCGCTACCGCTTTCAGTAGCAGAATCAGTACCTGTAGAATGTGTTTCTACACGAAAATATTTCAAAATAGCTTTTCTTTGACTTTCTTTATTTTTCTTTACTGATAGTCTCTTTTTCTCAGACATGGTTAAAAAACGTAAGAAATGTGTAATTATAAAATATTTACTTATTACTTGCTAGCGTACAATAGTAGAATTGAAGTAATACACTACCTTTTCAATCGATAAGAATATTGTCAGTTAAATACTTATTATAAATAAAATATAATAGTCAACACTTAACTCTTTCGCTACCGCCGTTTTAACAAAAATCTTTTCGCTGTGACCGCACGTTTTTTGAATAAAATTTGGATGAAATAACATAAAAAACTAATTAAAATTCGAATAGTATATCTTTTTAAAAGCGTAACAATTTGTTAGCTTTGTTCAATTAATATATAGTTTCTTACAAACTATATATTAATTGAAAGATTAACAAATGAACTTTTTAATTAAATAAGTTTTTAACACGCATCGTTGAACAGTAAGAAATGCAAGGTACTTAAACCATCGTTTTTATAAATAGTAACATAAAAAAATAAAAATAAAATAAATAAAACATAAAGTCCGAAATAAAACTTATTTAATGTATAAAAAAAACGTTTTTCTTGAAAAAAAACCTTTGTAAATACTTAGCTAAATACTCACACGCTTCTACAAGTTAAATTTTATAGTGTTAACGCTGCTTTATTTTACTAATTACGAACTAAATTTAAAGAATTTTTTTTATCAAGGATTACTTGAGATTTTTTAACTTTGTCAAGTGATAACTAATTATAGTTACACATTATGGCTCACACTTGTACTTGATTATGTAGAGAACTAATTAAACTTTAAGAAAAAACAAATTATGTGTCTAGATTTATGCACAAAACAGGATAAATTGTGAAGCATACTCGAAAGCCGCTACCAGCGGCTTGCAGTCATAATAAAAAAAAATCAAAAGCCGCTATCAGCGGCTTGCGGAGGGAAAGAGTTAAATTGACATTTATTCAAAGAATCAGAGACAGACAGAAGAAGTATCTAGTACTCGTTAACCAAACGCAAGCGAATGAATGTGAAATAACTGATTGAATATGCGAGCTATCGAATGAACATGAGGAACAGCGAGCGGATAATATACAATTTTGTTTGTTGCGTTTATAATTTAAAAAGAAAATATTTACTTTATTTGGAAAACGCAACTCAAGTTGTTAATTATCTCTCATTTTATTAATATAAACACAGACGAGAGACAAGAAGCAGAAGTCACTATTTAATAACATTACAACACAACATGTTGTCTTTGCCTAAAGCCTGCGAGTGATACGCTAGTTTGCCTTGCAGTTTATGCTCAATTACTGGAAATGGAAAATTTCTCATCGTTATATATAATTTTTATAATTATTATAAAATTATAATTTTAGTTAGATTTTTTATATTTTATAGGCAGCTGCCTAGTCTGCCTAGTGCCTAGCGCCGGCTCTGGGTGGAATATTAGCGTTTTTTAATGTGGATTTATATACTTTAACACCAAATTAGAGTACTTTCCTCTAGTTTTCAGACCTATGTTTTTATATGATTTAGAATCAGTATAATGTACTCTTTAAAAATCAACCATAAAAACAGAGGGGAGGGGGGGAAGAAAGTCGAGTAGCGCCGGTTTTTTAAATACCCATTATTAAACTATTAAACAGTTTAATTAGATATCAATAAAAATTTTTATTGATATCTAATTAAAGTTTTTATATCTAATTATAAGTTTTGATATCTAATTAAAGAGTTTATTTTTTATGACAGCTGTCATAGCTGTTATGATTCAGCTGTCTTAATACATAATATATTTTTATTTATTTGAATGGAAAATTTTTGTTATTTTAAGTTTCTTGTGGAACTAGTTCTAGACTAGAAATTACCTAATAAGCTTAGTTATAACTAGTGTAATGTGTTTTTTTTTTTAACTTATTGGAAATTAAGAATTAAAATTATAGAATTTGTATTGTTATCTCTTTTTTTTTTTTTATTTTTTTTAATACACATTTAATAGTACTTTTAGCAACTATATTTATTAACATTTGTTATTACTTAAAGTTAAGATAATAACTTACTTTCTTTTACAATACATAGTTATATAATGATTATATAACTATGTATTGTATAAGAAAGTAAATTATTATCTTAACTTTAAGTAATACTTAACAAATATTAATAAATAGAAATGCTAAAAGCACTATTAAATCATAGTCATATAATACATAACCCGGCCAGTTTAAGAGCGCTATTGATTATCATATTGTTAGCTTTTTTTTTAAAACCCAGTATACCAATGAGTGCACACTTTTTGTAAACAAATGCGCATTAAGAAGAATACTTACAAGAAGATTATTGGTTTATCCTTGATTTTTGCAAATGCCTCGTCTTAATTGTTACATATTTGGTTCTGGAACTTCTCTAAGAAGTATAAATCTTTTTCTATTTGAAATATTTTCTTCCGATGATGATGTTTATAACAAAGAATCAAGAAGAAAAGTTTTACAAATTATAAATAAAAATATATCTTTAGTTATAATATATTATAACTAATAATAAAATATGATATCAGATAACTGTTGGATCGACAGGTTTACTACCTTCAATAAATCAACCAGATAAGAGCTTTTCATTGGCAAATCCTTCTTTAGGCATAATATAGTAGTTTCTCATATTACTAAAGCTCGACTCAAAGAAATCAACTTTTTCTTCTGAAGAAGATGAAAGTCAATATTTAAATATTTACATTAAAAAAGATCAATGCTTAATACAGTTGTGTTTAACCTTATTTCATTATAAAAAAATATCAAAGCTATTTTGTGGCTATTTTACTAGCAACAAATCTTATAAAAACATTAATTGGTATATTATAAAAGATAAAAATCTTCAATGCAAGAATATCTCAAGATTTAATGGTTTTATGCAAAGTACAAATATATGTGTGTCTGTATATATATATATATATATATATATATATATATATATATATATATATATATATATATATATATATATATATATACACATAAATTTATATATATATATATATATATATATATATATATATATATATATATATATATATACACAAATATATATACACACACACACACACACACATATATATATATATATATATATATATATATATATATATATATGTGCATATATATATATATATATATATATATATATGTATATATATATATATATATATATATATATATATATATATATATATATATATATATATATATATTTGTCATTATTATTTTTAAATAGAGTTTTGAATGCTATCTTAATATCTTAAATGAAGAAATGTATTTATTGTTGCAGTTATATCATGCACATAATTGTAGTAATTGGGGTATCAAAAAGTGCATTGTCAATTTTTAAAAAAGTCCATAGAGGCTAAAAAGTGATCTGTTATAGGCTGTTCACACGAGGGTACATTTGATGGAACATTCCGTGGAACATGGAACATGAACAAATATCCTCTCGTGTGAACGCAAATGGAACAAAAATTCAAGGAACATTTGAGGAACTTTTGTACCGTCCCGCTAACCCAGAACAAATAAATGTTCCGGAACATTTATTTGGTTTTGTATAGAAAATGGTGCCTATTTTCAACTATTTTTAAAATAAGCGTATGCATATAAGCTAAATGATTCAATAAAAAATGGCTTGCAAAATGTAAATTTGTTGTAAAAGTAACTCAAACTATTTTTTTTACAAAGTTGTTGTCATCTTAACCAGAGTTTTTAGTCCTTGATCTCTGCATTGTCCTAGGTCTTGGTCATATATCAAGACAAGGTTATCGATATACTATTTGCCTTTCAACATGTTGCCTTGAAACTTTTAGTTTTTGCCTTCCATCTTTTTTATTGAATTCAAAACATTTCTTCGAATGTATTTTCATATCTTTATTCATTGAGTAAAAACTTGTGGTAATTTCATGCGAACAAGGAAATTCCGATCCCACTCGTGTGGGATCAATCATGAGTAGACCAGATGGTGGGCAATTATTTAAAAACAATTATTTGACCATCACAAATTTCAAGTTATTTTTAACGATTTTTAAATTTTGTATAAATAGAATAGAAATTTAATTATTAGTGTATTATTAATTTAAAAAGAAGTTATATATGTGTGTTTAAAAACTTAATCTTAAAATATAACATTACAAAGACAGTATTATTCTTATTAAGATCAGTTTTAATTTGAATTAACAAGAAGTATAATTCAAGGTAACATTTAACTTGCGTTAAGTAAGTTTAATTTTCATTGTTTAATAGTTTTTATTTAATTATATTCTTTGCAAGCATTGCTATTAATGCATTTTTAATAAACTTATAGTAATTTGATTTATAAAATTCAACTTTGAACTAATAAGCAGTTTTGTTTATCATTGGCCTTGCCAACAGTGATAATAATAATAAAAATAATAATAATTATTATTATTATAATAATTATAATAATAGAATAATAATAGTAATAATAATGATAACAATAACAACAATAACAATTGTTAATATTATTATCATTATTATCATCATTGTTATTATTACTTATATTAATATTATTAATGATATTATTATTGGTATATATTGTTATATATGAGCTTTGTCATATATTTTATTTATATGTCATATATATTTTATTATATTAGCTTTGTCTTATCTTGTTATTTTAATTTGTGAACATTATCATTAATATTTTCCTCATAAATATTCTGTATTTACTTAATATTAGTTAATTTACTGTTTGTGAATAATTGTGAAAGTAAGACCTTTATTCAGAATATATATTATTGATTGACTGTATTGATATGACTGTACCTTATATCTTTGCCACAATGTACTACAATTATTGACATTTAAAAATAAACAATAGTGTTGAAAGATCAATGTTATTAAATAACATAATTATCACATTGCATGGAAAAGTAAAAAAAAAGTAAAAGTAGCATCTAAAAGTTTCTGTTCTCTTGGCTACCAGTTTTTGGCAATTTATTAAATTATTTAGTTAGCCCATAACGTTATTAAGTTATTTTAAGCCTATAACATTTATAGCAATTATGAAGTTTAACCTTTAATATTATTATTAACTATTTCTCTTCTTTTTGTTGTTTTTGTTGTTATTGTTGCAAGATTCAATGTACTTATCCTTTTTAGTAGGTAAAACTTTAATTTTACACAATGTCTCAGCATTCAGAAAAAGAGTGTATCAACGCTAGCACAACAAATATTGGTCTTTGCACATCTCCTTTAAATAAATTTGTATGGAATATGGCTAACACAAGAGTATTATTAGATTTATGGAAAGATCATTACAAAGCATTAACATCTGCAAGAAGAAACACAAATATTTACAAACAAATGGTAGCTGAATTTTCAAACACATTTAATATCGTACCTCCGTTAACTGATATCAAATTCAATCTAAAATTAGTAATTTGAGGAAGCAATTTAGGTATGTACATATTCTACATTTAATGTTTGATACCTTACTGAAATACTGAAAGTATTTTACAAAACTAACCATGTGTAATAATATCTAATTGCAATTTAGTTTGTAACTGAGTGTTATATTAAAAATTACTTAAATCTTATTCAGTATTGAAGATTTACAGCTCGTTGATAATTATTTTGTTAATAATTCGTTATTTTATTATTCGTTAATAATTCGTTAATTTTGTTAATAATTATTTCGTTAATAATAATTTGTCCATTTAAAATTATTTGATTAATCTTATACGGTGTTAATGATGTGCTTATATTTACTTATATTTATGTATATGTTTCATAGACGAGAAAAACTTCAAGTTGGTTCATCGGGAGGAGCTCCTAGTAAATGGTGGCCTTACGATATTGTTGCCAAAATAATAGGTGATGAAGCTTCCCTTGACAATGGCCTTTTATCTCAAAGTCTTAACTTTTCTACTCAAGATTTTCAAGATGGTCAGGTAAGTTTAGTATAATTTATTGTTGTATATTTTAAAGTGCTATATATTTTTTAAAGTAATATAAACAAGTATGTTAACTATTTCTACAAAATAAGGTTTAAGAGGTTCTTAGTTTTGCAACATTTGGCAGACTTAAAACATAAAGATCAAAAACATATAATATAAAGTTTTTGAATTATAAAAGGGATCTTTTAATATTGGCTAGATCAATTTGTAAAATACTATTGTCTAAATAGATCCTTTTTGAAAGTCAAGCCTTTCAAAGTCAAGAGATAAATTTTGATTGAAACATGATTTATAATCATTTCTCAAATGTGTAATTTTTTTAATGTGTATATTTTATTTACAGATTGCCACAATGGAAGATAGCAAGGAGACTGTCAGTATTTTAAATATTGAAGCTTTGGATGATACAAGTGATGTGCAATCAGTTGTCACTATTCCTGATGAGGAACTAACTCAATCTACATCCAGCTGCAATAAACGAAGGAACTCTGATGATAAAAAAACTTTGAATAAAATAGCAAAAACTGAACCGGTGAGAAAAAATAAAAAAACAAATTTTTCTTCTGAATATTTAAAAATAGCAAATAAAAATTTAGATGTTCAAATCCGTTCACAAGAGCTACGAATCAGAGAAGTTGTTGCTTTAGAGCGTATTTGTGATGCAATTGAAAATGCATCTAAAGCCCAAGTAGATGCGTCTAAAGCCCAAGTAGAATATTATAAATTTTTAATAAAAAAATAAGGTGTTCTATTAGTCAAGATATCTTTTTAGTAATTATGTTAAAGTTGAAAGGTCAGTATTTTTTCAACAGTATACCTTGTTTACAATTCTATGCAATATATATTTCATAAGGTTTTTCATTGTTTTAACTAAAGAGATGGTTAGTGAAATATTGTACAAGCTTGTAGATGAAGCTCTATTTTTATATATTTTTTCATGTTACCATATTACTATTATCAAAGGAATTTTTACTTTATGTAAAATAAAAATATTTTGTGATTTCAAGCATTAAAATGCATATCTGGTGGTATTTTTTAAATTTGTCATGTTATTTTATAAATACCTTTTTTTGTATCTCTATGCTATATATATTTAGTATTTTTACCAAATAATTTTTTTTTGCGATATGAAGCAAGCCTGTAGATGAATTATAGTGATATGTTTTTTGCCAAAGTGTTTTGTTTTTAATTTATACAAGTTGCATTACATGTTTCATTTTTGTTTTTGTTAACAGATCATGCTGTATCAATTCTAACAAAATGGTTTTAAAAAATGTGTTTTAATTTCCCTTGAATTGTAATATAATAAGTATTATATTTATTTAATATATTTATATAGTTTTAATAGCTTTTTAGGGAGACATCTGTAATGGAAAAAGCTATTGGAAAAACATGGAAAGGGTTTTGGCCGTACTTCGATCAAGAAGTAGAACATTAATCAATGATGAATCAATCACCCATTTTCATATTTCGATTTAGCTTCCTTTAAGTTAAATCGACAAGGGTATCTGATTGAAAGAAAAGTTTGGCTTAGGCCAAAAAGTTCTCAATGGTTTAATGAGATTTTTAATCAAATGGAGGAATGTGAATTTAAAGAGCATTTTCGAGTAAATCGTAACACATTTAATTTCCTAGTTAATAAATTGCATCCACATTTAGGCAAAACTACCACAACTATGCGAGTACCTATTTCAGTAGTAAAACGTGTTGCAGTTGCATTACATTATCTAGCTTCATGTGAAGAGTATCGTGTTGTGTCTAGATTTTTTGGCATAGGAAAGTCAACAGCAAATTTAATTGTTCATGAATTTATTCATGCTGTTAATGACATTTTGCTCCCTAAATATGTTAAATTTCCATTGTCAGTGGAAAATTTAAATAAATATAGTAGAGATTTCGATGCTATTTTTGGTTTTCCACAATGCGTTGGAGCTGTTGATGGATGCCACATCTCTATTTTAGCCCCTAAAGATCAAGCAATTTCTTATTATAATTATAAAGGGTGGTATTTCATTGTACTTTTTTCCGTTGTAGACTGTCGATACCGTTTCATTTATCCAAAGTTGGATCGCCTGGTAGAAATAATGACAGCTATATTTTGCAGAATTCTTCTTTGAAAGCAATTTTAGAATCAAGTCTATTTGATAAATATTGTAAAGAGCTGGGCGATTCTCTTGTTCCGCTATGTTTGATAGGTGATTCAGCATTTCCTTTAACGCGTCATTTGTTGAAACTTTATCCTGAAAATTTGGAGCTTAGTGATATTCAAAAAAATTTCAATAAAATGCTTTGCGGAGCTAGAAGAGTAGTTGAGAATGCTTTTGGGCGCGTTAAAGCTCGATTCCGTGTAATTTGCAAACGTATGGAATGCGATATTAACTTTGCTACAAGAATTGTTAATGCTTGCGTCACTCTTCACAACATTTGTGAATATTATGACGATATTATTATAATAGAATGGCTTATGCATCATCATGATGACAGTCTAGCTCAACCCAATACAGTTTCTACAACTGGGAACAATGACCAGGAAAAAATGTTCGTGACTCAATTGCTAAATACCTTTATGAAAGGGACAAGTAAAGTAGTAATAATATTATTTATTATTTAAAGCTTTAGCTGTAATATGGTTATGTATTTACTTACTTTCCTTGAGGTTATCAAATGTGTCTAAATAAATAAATATTAAATATGTATGAACACAAAATGAGATTAGTTTTAAGTGGTCGTGGGTAACATATTAATTTATAATATGTTAATTCGGTACTATACCACTGATGGACAACTATTCTGTGTCGTCAAAAGCGACTAAAGGAGATATGACCTATCCATAAAAGCCAAAAAACGGGATAACAAAATTCCAACGTCACCTTTTGTATGGCGGGTATTTTGGGTTGGGTTTCTATTGTCTAACTCTGAGCTAGCTAAACCCTCATCGTTATTTGTATTTAGTTTTACCTCTCATAAATGTTTAAATATTAAAAATTAATAAATTATATTAACAATGTGTATTTGCCAAACTGTTTGTCACTAATTTTTATTCGAGTTTTATCTACCGTTTTTTTACTCGCTTTTTCTTTTATGTACCGTCAAGCCAATTTTACATGTCAACGCTACAAGTAACATTTTGTGGAACATTTTGTTCCAGAAACATTTGTTCCGCCGAACATCGCTAGTGTGAACATGGTATTAGAGCGCTTGCTTTAGCCAGGATCGAAACGAACCGCGGACATTTCGCGTCAAGGTAAGGAAGGAGGCGCGAACCCCCAAGAATATATATATATATATATATATATATATATATATATATATATATATATATATATATATATATATATATATATATATATATATATATACATATATAATTTTTTTTTTTGATAAGTTGATTAAGGTGCCCCAAGAAGTCCTTACGGTCTTATCACAGAGCACCGCGGAAAAGCATTTAGTAGGAAGTTCACGCCTCCTTCCCAACCAATGTCGCAAAACTTGCCCAGGTGTGGTTTGAACCACGAATCTTACGTTTCTGAGGCAAGCGCGCTACAACTGCCACGGCTGCACGACCAAATATTTATATACATGTATATATATATATATATATATATATATATATATATATATATATATATATATACATATATATATATATATATATATATATATATATATATATATATATATATATATATATATATTAATATGACGTACTTTCACATTTACATAGATTAAAACAGTGTAAGACTAGTATTCTAAAAAAACCAACTAAAAAGTTTTTTATCATTTAAACCTCAAAATTGCTTTCTCCCTTTAATTATGGCAAAATTATGGCAACCCTGTTCGAAAATATAACTATATTATATGTAATCTATTGAACTTTTATTTCCATAGATTTTTAAAACTTGTGATTCAACCATACATTATTTATTTTTTTATAATTTATTTATACACTATATAAACATACGTTCGACATAACGTCAGATATTTAAAAACCAAGCCAAACATAACATTATTATTGAACTACTTTATTTATTTCCACTCTCATTAAAAATCTTGCGTCAATTTATTCAATGACATTATATCTTGGAATTAGTAAACTCAAGGAGTAAGTGACGCTTTTTAATGCTTTTTTTATATCAGTTTTTTAAGTTTTACGCCGTGAATAAAAATATTATTTTTCAGTTTTCAAACTTTAAAATCATACAGAGTTTTAATTAAATTAGATCAATGTTTTTAAAAGTACTGGATACTAAATATATAAATATTCTAAACTAAATAGAGTTGCCAAAATCTTGTTTTTTCTCACAACAAATAGTTTTTTTTGACAATTTCAAAGAAATGAATTAAAACTAACTTTGTTTTTTTGATATTTCAATGTTTTCTTTACTATTCAGAATATTTTTGACTATTTTTTATGTACACAGTTCAACATAAAAATTCTCATAGTCCTAATAACTATATACTTATAATCTAATGGTTAGATTAATGTCTAAAGTATACATTTTTTGATTTTACTTTGTTTAGGTTTAGATTTGCAAAAATCTCCGAGTTATTTTTGATAAACGGACCTTACGTATTACCGATAAATCTGTTTGTAAACAAAATCGCGGGAAATGATGTTTTCTTGTAAAAGTATTAATATTTTATTTTATATACCTTTCTTGCTTATTTAAATATTATTTTCTAAAGCTTCTTTTTATTTATTTTATTGTTTTTCAGGTTTAAAGATTTAAATATATATATTGATATATCTTTTGCATTTGCAACTTTTCTCATAACAATGCTTATGATATTTTTCCATATGATAGTATATTTTATAAAAACTCACGGAGAGCTCAATCAATTAAAGAATCATCATATTGTAAGTATTTATAAAATCATAACAATAAAAATTAACAACAATTACTTAAAAGATCTTGATTTAACTAATCACTTAAGTTATTGTCAATTTCTTTTTTTTTTAATTAGATTTATTTACAAAATAATGGGTATCTGCCAAAATATGGAAACAAATCCAGCGGAAAAGGTTTTAAAAACTTTGAGTTGTTGAATGCATTAAAGAAATTTCAAGAGTTTGCTGGATTACCAACTACAGGTTGTCAGTTACATTTTTTACAATAATTTGTATGCTGAGTGTTTTGACAGACTAGAAATTAATGTTAATTATGTTAGAATATAGATATATATTCTAACATAGTTAACATTAATATAATAAGATAAATTAAAGTTACCCTACTACAATGTGATTAGTCTGATATCTATTAATAACATTTCACAACAAGGTAATTTTTATTTGTGTTTTGCATGACCATATGTTAATGTTTGTAATCTGTGCAGGTTATAAAATGCATAAAATTTTTTAAATTGTTTTTATAATGACATGTTAAATAAGTAGGTATGTGACATGAAAATTTTAAATTGATTCAGAATGTTATCTAAATATTAATACTCCAGCTAATGTTTATTGTGCATTGTTACTGCTTAATTAGCTTAGTTACAGTTATTATAATGAATGTAATTGGCTAAAATAGAATCTTCTAACGTGTAATTGGCTATATATATCTAATTTAATGTGCTTAGTGACGATTATTAGTTAACTGGCATCAAGTTAAATTGTTTAAAATTTTTGATTTGTTATCGCAAAAATTAAATTAAACACATTAATTTAATTAAAAGTTAAATTAATGTGTTTAATTTGAAATAATTATTTTAACTGTTTAATTTGTTTTTTTCATTTTACAAATTTTGATTTTATATAACTAAAGTTTATCACTAAACCTTGATATATTTTAATTAAATTTAAAATATTGAGTATTACACCTTACATAAAGAGCTACATGCCTATGCAGTAGCTATGTTGTGGGCCACGGGCTATGTGGTAGTTATGTAGTACCTATACAACAGATAATGTAGTAGCATTCTGTTTAATAGCTATGTATTAGGCGGTTAGCCCGTGGACTATTTAGTATCTATAAAATCAACATTCCAGATTGGTTTTTATGAATTGACCAGACCATTTATGAAAATGTTTAAATATAATTATTTGATAGCTGAAACTAGTAGTATGAGTGTTTACTCTGCTACAGCTACATAGACTGGAAATTCATTATATCCAAACATTAAATGCAATTTATAGTTTGTTTACAACAAATTTCCATTATTTATTTGGTAAAAAAGTCTTTTTTTTTTGTGGCAAGGGCTGAAGTTGTAGAAGCATGTATAAAATGTTCACTACATAGGCAATAGTTGCAAAAGTTTGCATTAACTAGAAAGCAAGAGTTAATGATAGTTCATGGTATCATATAGTAGATATCATAATAGTTCATGATATCAGTGGAATAATACCTGTCAAAAAGGACCATTCTTTAAAGAAGTGTAACACAAAATCAGTGCATTAATAGAGAAACAGCTTAATTGGTAATTAGATATTTGAAGATAATAATGAGAATATTATGCTGAACAAATTATTTTAACACTCACTAATGTGGATTCACTGTCAATCAATGAGCAAGTGCTCGAATGTTCTGAAAAGTTGTCAGGTCAAACATTGGATGGAGTTAGTGTATATAAAAAAATCAAGTTTTTCTCATCGTCAACTTAATGTTGCGTGATTAAGAACATGTGCATTTAAAAGCTTATTTTTCAAAATTGATCAACTGTTTAAGAACATGTATTGTGCAACATTTAAAAGTCTGATAATTTTGTTAATTTAAAAGTTTGATAATTTTGTTAAAATTGATAAATTGTTTAAGAACATGTGCATTTAAAAGTTTATTTTTCAAAATTGATAAACATCCCATTGAAGGTATGATAGGTGAGAAATGTTGCACAAATAATGTTATATTTTCTAATGTTTTGAATTTATTGTTTTTGGATTTTTCATTTCAAAAATTCATATTTCTAAGTTGCAATTTTTAAAGCAAGATTGCCAACCTTGCCATCCAAGTGGTTTATTAAGTAGAGATGTGACAGCATTTAGATCCAGGAGGTTTAACTGTTATTTATCTAGGTAATATTATCTAGCCCCTTTTAATTATTTAGAAAACACTTCTGGTAATATTTAGTGTAAGCTTCAATATCATAGGAGCCAAAATATTTAATTAGCAAACTCTTAACAGGGGCTATTCTAGACCCTTTTCGACAGCGTCAAACATATTTGGGTGCCGCCCAAATTAAAGTTTGAGGATATTATTACTTTTTTTTTATGTTTTTGATGGTAAATATTGTTTTTTTTTTTTTGCAAAAATTCCTGTTTTTTGCAAAATAGCCCCTGCTTAATATATCCACTTTGTTATACTATGTGCACATATAACACACAAGAAACGAAAAAGAAAATGGTAATTATGATATGGAAAAAAGTTAATCTTTGGTCATCTTTAATGTTCACTTATTGGGTTGAAAAAAAGTCAGAGTACTTTTTAAAATATCTAGACTAATAAACTAAAGTAAATGTAAAGTATTCACCATTTATAATTTCCGGTTCTGTTACTGATGTTTAATGCACTACTAATACTAGTTTCATACCAATAGTATGATAAAGTAGATTGTTATGAATTTCATATAATGCAATTTATAACAATGAGTAAGCAACATTATGATAATGTGATAATGGTTGGAGGTTGGCTGCAATAGCAGGTTTAACTATGTTTACAATGCTATTTTGTACCTTGTCTAAAAGAGAAATAGAATTATTTGAAGATCCGTCCCAGATATGCCAACAGTATTCCATATAAAGCCAGATTTGAGATTTATAGAGATATAAAACAGAATCCTGAGTAAGAAAGTGGCAAACACAATAGAGAGGTGCAAACTTAGCTAACTAATTTTGCAATGGATTTGATATATGGTTTCCAAGAAAAGATTGAAAATAAGAGTTAATACTAGAAGACGAAGGGTAGATGACTCATCAAGTACATTACTGTTCATAGATTTCATAAGAGTTAATACTAGAAGGCGAAGGGTAGATGACTCATCAAGTATGTTACTGTTCATAGATTTCATAAGAGTTAATACTAGAAGATGAAGGGTAGATGACTCATCAAGTACTAATGTACTTGATGAGTCATCTACCCTTCCCATTACTGTTGTTTCAATGACTTAAGTGATTAGTTGACAATATCTTAAGTGATTAGTTAAATCAAGATCTTTTAAGTAATTGTTGTTAATTTTTATTGTTATGATTTTATAAATAATTACAATATGATGATTCTTTAATTGATTGAGCTCTCCGTGAGTTTTTATAAAATATACTATCATATGGAAAAATATCATAAGCATTGTTATGAGAAAAGTTGCAAATGCAAAAGAAATAACAATGTATATATATATATATATATATATATATATATATATATATATATATATATATATATATATATATGTATATATGTATATATATATATATATATATATATATATATATATATATATATATATATATATATATATATATATATGTTAATCGTTATTGTTTCAATAACGATTAGCTGAAAAAATATATCTAAGTAAAAGTTCACTAGCCACTAGGAGTGCCATGCTATAGCAGAAGTGAGATTCTTTTCAAGCTCAAGTGACAAAATCAGGACAAAAATAAATCATCAGCAAACAATGCCACCTTAGATGTTAGAATTTCTAAAAGATCGTGAATGTGAATTAAGTAGAACCTTGAGAAACCTCTGAAGTTACAGGAAATAAAGAAGAGTTTTGTACTACAATTGGTAACGAAGGGTTCTATATTCTTAAAGATGTTTCTGATGTATGCCAAACTTTATCTTTGATAAAGTTTGACATGCTGGTCTTCTCCATAAAGTTTGGCAAGCTTTAGAACTTATTAACTTTTTAACTTAGCAATAGCCCTAACCTCTCCACATCTATCTAATGCATGATAAAACCTATCTGTTAATACCGTTAACAAATAAGCAGTAGAATAAGAAGATTGAAATCCATATTGATGATCAGAAAGTTAGTTATTAGATTCAAGATAAGGGAATAAGTGTTTATTAACTAAAGACTTAAAATCCTTGCATATGATGTGCATACAATGCCATTTTTTTAATGTTATTCACCTTCCCTAGGTGGATAAGGCTAGTATAGTCAAGCAGGCTAATTTATTGTCAACTCTCTCAACACAAATACATGTATATATATATATATATATATATATATATATATATATATATATATATATATATATATATATATATATATATATATATATATATATATATATATATATATACATATATATATATATATATATATATATATATATATATATATGTATATATATATATATATATATAAATATATCAGGGGCTATTTTAGACCGTTTTTGACAGCGACAACCATATTTGGCGCTGCCCAAATTAAAATTTGTTGCATTAGGTGACTTTCCAAAGTGTTGCATTAGGTGACTATCCTTTGGCATAGCTGAACATGTCCATTAAATGTTCACTATCTATATTGTGAAGTCATGCTTGTGTAGCCTCTTCTTTAAGTGTCTTTATAACATTAATGGAGAAATATCTCTTCATCTGTTAAAGCACTGCAATAAGACAAGCAGAAATTATTTATATGCTACTTATCAATGAAGCATAAATTTGTTACTGATTGTAAAATACTTGGGATTTGAGGATTTCCAAATAAATCTGTCAATCTGCAAAATAGTGTACCTGGATTAATTGTTTGCAAAACATCTTTTATATAAACTTTGACATTTTACTGTTTTAATGGTGTGAAATGGTGCTTAAATCATAAAGTTTGATTAAAATGAAACAAGTATTTAAAAAAAAAAATTATTTTTAATCATCTTTAACATCTTTGAACCTTTGAACCATTTTGAACCTTTTTCATAGGCAAAAAAAAAAGATTGTTTATTATTCAGCTCCTACATGACTTTGTTCAGCTTCTGACACATCTGTTCATATAATTGAATATTTAAACTTTTGTCAGACAACATTGCTTTCAGAGTTGTGGAAAGAAGCAAGCCAAACAACTTGTGATCTGTTTGACCTAATATGTGACCATTGATTTGGTTTATATTATTGTGGAACTACCTGGCAACATTTCCAGTTATATTTCCCTCTTCCTCCTTGTCCTATGAAATTTTCAAAAACTAAAATGTTAAGTATTGATTAATCAAAGTTCATTATATCTATATATTAACATGTAAAAAATTTCATGATTTGCTTCTGTTAGTGTTTTGGTTACAGATATAGTTTTCCTTGCTTGAATTCTCTTTAGTTTAAACTGATAAACTGATATGGTAGAATAAAATTTTGTTAGAAGTTGAGCTAAGATTTTTTTATAGCTATACATTTTTTATTAACAATTTGGTTAATTGTATCAATTTTATTTTAAGTTGAGTTTTAATTGCTAGACTAGTTGAACTTTTATTTTTCACTCAACCTTTTCTATTTAAAATAAAAAACATTAAAAACAGACATTAAAAGTAAAAATTAAAAATATTGTAAACTTTTAGCTCACAAAATAATTACTAATAATCGCTATGAGTTTTTTGTTCAAAAAATTTGGTTAAAATGGTCTCGGTGACTAATGTTAGTTAATTGTAAGTTAATTGATTTTCAACTTGTTTAGTATAATATTTAATATTTTATTTTATTGGAATAATTACAATAAAAGACAAATATATATTTAGCAAAATTTTTTTTTTTGTTGTTGCAAAAGAATAAAACTTTTTTACTTTTTTGAATATTTTGGTTTGCACTTTTATGAGATTTATCTTTGATGTATACACGATGCTTTGTTTTGAATACTTTGGTTTGCAATTTTGTCATTTTAGCAAGTGTGAAATATTAAATTTTGAAATTTGTCTTTTTATACAATTTTAAAATTTGTCTTTTTATGAATATTTTTATAATAAACACTTAAACAATAAAATCTTTCTAGGAGTATTGGAGTTTCTAGGAGTATTTATTAAAACAATAAAATCTTTCTAGGAGTATTGGATTTAATTACAGTCAAAAAGTTTAATCAACCACGTTGTGGTATGGAAGATAAATTTTCAAATTTGCGGCCTAAAAGATATGTTACACAGGGTGGAAAATGGCATAAGAAGGTACAACTACCCAAAATAGATTCTTTTAATTTTCAAATAAAGCTGAAAACTTTTTGTTTTAATAATTATTTTTTTAGCTTTTAACATTTCAAATTTTAAATTATTCTAATGACCTGAGTAAGAATCAGATTGATAAAACTATAAAAGATGCATTTCACAAATGGGAAGCAGTTAGTAGGCTTAAGTTTACTGAACGATCAAATGGTATTGCTGATATCAAGATTAAGTTTACACGTTCCAATCATGGTGATCCATATCCATTTGATGGACCTGGTGGTACTTTGGCACATGCATTTTATCCAGGAACCCATGGTATTTACTTTTTATTTTATAATTGAATATCTATAAAGTTCTTTTTTTTAATAACATTTTGGGGAAATTTTGTTTTAGATTTATCTGGTGACATTCATTTTGATGATGATGAGCTTTTTACTTTGAATACCATGGAAGGTAAAGATTTATCATGGGTTGTTTTGCATGAGTTAGGTCACTCTTTAGGTTTAGAGCACTCTCACGAGAAAGGTGCAATAATGTATCCTTGGTATGAAAGACATGATGGTAGAGAAATAGTTTTGCACGAGGATGACATAGAAGGAATACAGTTTTTATATGGTAAGTCTAAATAGTCTAGATAGAGGTGCTAAAAGTGAGATTTAGGTAAAAAATATTTTTTGAATTGTTTTTTTATCAACTTATATCACTTGTGCAACCTAACAAATATAAGCAAATAACTAACAATAGTAATTTTATCAACTTCTATATCACTTGTGCAACCTGATGAATTTAAGTAGATAACTAAAAATAGTAATTTTATCAATTTCTTTTCACTTGTGCAACCTGATAAATTTAAGTAGATAGCTAAAAAAAATAATTTCTATCTTCATATTTTGCAGTGTGAATTTCATATTTTAAGTCATGCTAAAATTAATGTTGATATTTTGCATCATGAATTTTGTTATTTTACCACTTAACTTCAAAAAAAAAATCAAGTTATTACAGTAGATACCCATTAACTCGGACCCTGGATAAGTCAGACTTTTACTAAGTTGGCAAATTTTCAATTCACTTTGAATTCTCTATACATACCAAAAGCTTTGCTTAACTCGGACATTAGCTAAGTTGGACAAAATATGTATACCCATTCAGAGTCCAAGTTAACAGGATTCTACTGCATCTTCATCATTCTAATAAGAAATCTTATTATTATTACAATTAATATCAAGGCAATAATGTATATATAATAAATACAGATTTAGCTGAGCATGGAACATCTTTAATGACAACTTACCAGTATAGTCATCTATGGGGTAATACATAATTTTATACATGAAGAGCCTTTATTCAAAAAATTCTTTTTCTGCTTTATCTGCATCAACAAAATTTTTACAAATTAAAAAAAAACATCAAGCTTAACTGACGCACAATATTTCTTTTAAGAACTTTTATCTTCATGACAGTTATAACTTTTTTGTTTTGATTTTAAGGCACTAGAAATAAGCCGTATTGAGTTTTTAATTTGTTTTTTAGACACAAAAATCATTAAAAAAATTTTTTAATGATTAAATCATTAAATAAAATGAATACATTGTTTCAGGCATTCCTGACAACGAAAAACACTCTCACGATAAAAACCAGCCAAGCAGATGTGTCGAAAAGATAGACGCAGTTACCATTGATCAAAGAGGATATGTTACAGTAATTAGTAAAGGATTTGTTTATACTTTTGATAACAAACTTGATTTATCCGAGCAACCAGTGTCTCTTCATGCAAAGTTTAATAACATTAAAGAAATAGATGCTTCATTTACAAAGATAAATGGTCACATCATTTATATTCATGCTGATAAGTAAGCTTTCACTATCACTTGCTGTGTTGTAATAATTTATAAGCTATAATTTATATTAAGAAATAATGTAAATATTCACAACAAAAAAACATTTTTGTTTTGTAGATTAAGTTGCTCACCTAAAGTAGTAGTTTACCCGGGTTTAATTAATTTATATAAATTAGGGTAGGTCTGACCATGGAAAGTTTGAGTACAATAAGATCTTCACTTGTTAAAAAATGAATGAGATATTTAATGTAGAAGTCTTATTGACAATAATATTACTAGTTTCATTAAGATACAAATCTAGTTTGACCCTTTTTATACCCAAAACCCCATTTTATTTTGATTTTTTAGTGGTTTTTACTTACCAGATTTTGGGAGTACAATGGTGATCGTCTAATCAAGGGACCTATTCTTACTAAAAATATTGGTTTTACAGCTGATATGGTTAATCTAGATGGTGCTGTGCGTTGGCATTTAAATAAGAGAGTATATTTTTTTAAAGGTTTGTCAACTGTATCAAATTTTTTTTTTTAATACCTCTTTATTATTTAAGTATGAAAAATTTTTTAATTTTTTAATGTTTAGGTAATAAGTACTGGCGTTTCAATGAAAAAACATATCGCATTGATCCAGATTATCCAAAATTAATCAGAGATTTTTGGATTGGAGTACCAGATAATATTGATGGTGTATTTGAATGGACTAATAATTATTTATACTTTTTTAAAGGTTAATTTTTTTTTAAGTTTACAAATATATAATACAATTAAACATTTTGCTATGATATTTATTGATGATACAAGTGATATAATTTTAATTATTTGGTTTTCTACTCAGTTGATGAAATTGATGTATATGTTAACACGTTGAAAATGTGAGTATATACATCGATTTCCACGCGTTCATCAATTTTAAAATTTTCTGCATCCGAAAGTGTTTAAATATGCGTTACAATGACATTTACAAAATATTCTTTAATGTAATTTTTTTAATTAATTTGTGTTATTTTTTGAAGTCTTTCTTGGTTTTTGCTTTTCTGCTATTGTTTTCTTGAATTTTTCTTTACTTCTATTTTTTTTAAATTTAATATGAAAAACTATTAAATAACATATTCAAAATAACTAAAATCGTAAAATATTTATAAATCTTGACAAAACAAATTTTTGCTTATGCTTTTGGTTGTCAAAAGATTTCTTTTTATTCAATTGTTAATACTCACTGCTTAGACTCATTGTTTACTGCTTGAAATACTTGACTTTTTATTTTTTAACATTCTGAGTTTTTTGATTTTCATTTTAGTTCGTTTTTTTTTTTAATTTTCTTTAAAAATTGGGCAATGCAGCAACGCATGATCGAATAAAAACCTTAATTTTTAACTTTAATAAAAAGTATGTATTAAAAAATAATAAAATTATTTTATTTTTAGGGTTAAATTATTATCGCTTTGATAATAAAAGATTAATGGTTGCCGATGGTTACCCACTAACGTTTCAGAATAAGTTTTTTCGTTGCAATGAAAAACTTTCTTTAGGACCATATACTAGTGCTTCACAGCATCTTTCTTTTAATTTATTTTTAATGGTTTTATTTGGCTTGTTCTTCATTTGTTCTTCATTTAAATTGAAGTAGTTCTTATTATTATTCTTATTCTTCATTTAAATTTAATATTTTATTAAATGTATATATATCTATATATATTTTATCTAGCATATATTTACGCATTTGTTTAAATCAAATAAGTATACATGTATATATATATATATATATATATATATATATATATATATATATATATATATATATATATATATATATATATATATATATGCACACGCGTGCGCCTTAAGTATACAATCGATATACGTTGGTTTAGGAGTCATTCAAATCTATGCCTTGCCAGTAAATAGTAAACAATTGTTTAACCGATATTAATAACACATTTTATTATATTTCAAATGAAAATGGAAAAATTATTATATTTCAGTTGAAAATTGAGAAAGTTTTTTTTTTTTTTTTAAATAATTGTACACTTGGTTATCTGTTTCAACATATGCGAATATTCATTCTTTATTATTTTTTATTTTTAGTGTAAATTTTTTAATTCTTAATTTTTAAAATTTTTAATATTCAATAAAAAATAAATGTGACTAATAAATTTTTTCAAATCGAATAATCTTTTACTTCTCAGTAAAACTAATTAATAAACAGTTATGATAAGAATAAAAACTAAGAATAAATTCCTTAAAAATAAGTAAAGCAATAAATTTTTGAGTTTAAAGGAGCCTGGGTTCAAAGGACCCTAGCGTCGGTTATAACGCTATCTTGTATACATAAATACATACATACCAATTTAAAAGTGTACCATATAATTTTAAAATTGTTTTTAAAAATAACCATTTCTAGTTTTGAAAAAACGACGTAGAATTTTTTATTTTTATATATTTTCTTTATATTTTGAAATGGAGTATTAAAAATATAACTTATTTAATAGATTCAATCTAGTTATTAATATATATATTTTGTATCAAATGATTTATGAATTTAGCAATAAATGTAGTTAAGTTTCTTTTTTTTTAAATGCTCTATTGTACAGAACGTCACCGCACCATCCAAAACCTAAAACTTTTTTAAAATTTTAAATCTAGTAATAATTAATCGTGATTGTTCAAAATCAAATTGACTTCACTAGAAATATATTTAAACAAAAATCTAGTTCATTGCAAGACAAAAAGCATCTATCAAAAACATTGTTAATATACTTACCTCTTCTTTTTTTTTCTTAAGTTCGTTAAATTTTTTCCTCATTTTTTTATAATTATGTTTATTATAAAGTGTTTAATATCAGGTGCATATAATATTAATTCCAATGTATAAATAATTTTTTATTGAAGGTGCTCTAAGAGCTCTTAATTGTGATTTTCACAACCGAAGCGGCTATTGAGCCTTGGTTTTTATCACTCTTATCACTGCGCTTTATCTGATGTTCTGCTATATTTTGTATCATCTATAACTCTTGAGTGTGTTAAAATTTAGATTTTTAGATGCACTTTTTCTCACTATTGTAGGGTTTGAATATCAACAATTTAAGGTACCAGATCGCTCTAAAATAAAACTGGTGAAATTTTTGTCATATCAATTAAACTTTTTTTTTTGATTTAAAATTTTGAAAAAATAGTTAAGAAATAATTAGATATTTTAGCAGTCATTTTAAAAAGTTTTCAAACTTTAGCAAATGTTTTTGAGCTATTGAATTTTCAAGGTATTTACTATTTGTAAAACTTGGATTTCGACCTCGGTGTAAAATAGATAAATACTTTAAAAGATAATTTTTTAAAAAATATAAAAATTAGTCTTTAAGGTACAAACCCCAATAACATCACAGTAATTGAGAAAACGTGTTTATGTGTTTCTAAAAATAAAATTATAAAATTGTTATCATTGTAAAAACCACTTCTAAAAACATGTTTCTTCATTTCCGAATATATATGAATCCTTTTTTCACAGCTCTCAGCAACCTTTTCCTGCTGATATCAGCAGTAGTAGTCTTTTTTGTCTTATAACCTATTTAAGTTGAGTTTTTTGAGCCTTAATGGCACAGTTTTTATCTGCAGTTTTTGACTTCATATATCACACTTGTTCCATCATTACATTCTAAAACAACAAATGATATGACTATTTCAAGAATTGCTTCAGCTCACAAAAACATCTTTAGGACATTTTTTGCCTTATAAAATTGTTGCTTGCTTTATTATTACTTTTTGTTTGTTCATGCAAACACTTTAATCACTGTTAAAATCTTAAAAAAAATTAATCACTGTTAAAATCTTAAAAAAAAATCTTCTTTTTATTAATTTTTTTATTTTTGCTAATGAGAGAGTAAATTTTTTATTTTTGATAATGGAAGAGTCAATTTAGCTTTCTAATTTGATTTTCCAGTTAGTTTATTCAACTAGCACATGCACCAGCTATTTATAAATCATGTAAAAATTTGTACTCTTCTGTTTGTTCAATAATATTTGAGTTTTGGAAAAGCATTATTTAAATATTCTTTTTCATTTCAAAAATGCTGTTGATATTTTACCTTATTGCAGTATTACAATAGTTCAGCAAAAAATATATAGCTTTATTGGTTAATTGTCTTTTACCAATTTTTTTCCCCTATTAGATAGTATATTTAGTTTTATTAGTTAACGTGAGTTTCGCAACCGTGTTTCCATACGCATTTGAACATGACCTATTTTTTTTATCAATACTAGTGTTATATGAAGTGCGCATGATTGAGATTTGCTGACAACATTGTTTGAGGATGTATCTCCACCTTTAATATAAGATGTATACTACAGATTCCATTGATTATGAAGATTTTTTGTGGTTAAAGAGACAAATATGAATATTTTGCCAGTTATAATAAATAAGCGAGCTCATTCTTTCTTTTGTTCCAAAGATTTATAATTAAGCTGGAGTGAGAATGGAGTAAAAATACGTCATTTTTCAAAGAACAGTCTTAGTAGTATCATTATTTTTAATAAAGTGACACGAACCAGACTTAAGAAAATGAAAAAACCAAAAAAGTTGCACTTGTTTTGTCCGCTGCAAAATGGCACTTGTCAACGAAACTCTGCCTGTTTGCTGTCACCTGTCAGCTGATTGCTCATGTCATGGCATGCTATGACTACAGACTACTGAACTGTTTGCTGTGGTAGTATAGTTCGTTTCGTTTTTAAGACATGTAAAATTAGGAACACTTTTTAGCATTGTTCGATGTTGGTTGCAAATGTTTTGTCCAATACTGTACATGAAAAGATTAAATGGTTCCAAAGAAGTATAACTTTTATATCTATTTCTCAAAAAGCAACAACAATTTATGTATTTACTTTTGCGGGGTTTTTTTTTTCTGAAATTTGACATGAGTTGATAATTTCATCACAGTTTTTACAAAAAGTTTGAAGTTGTAAGCAAAATTTCTTTTTTCTTCAATGTTTGTATGTAAAATAATGTTATTTGCACATTCAGTACTTATTAAATAATCTTTTTATAATAGAAAAGTTCATAACAAAGTTTGAATCGTAATCCTAATTTTATTCTCAACATTTTTAGTAGTATTCCTTTTTTTTCCTTAGTAGTATTCCTTTTTTTTTCTTAGTAGTATTCCTTTTTTTTTTTAGTAGTATTCCTTATAGACTTTTTTCTTAGTAGTATTCCTTATAGACTTTTTTTTAGTAGTATTCCTTATAGACTTTTTTTTTAGTAGTATTCCTTATAGACTTTTTTGCACTTCAACAACTTGCAACTGGTAATAAAGTTTAAGAGTTTTTTGTTTTTGTTGCATGCATAAAGATTATTGCTTATGAGGAACATAAAAATGATTAATGTACATGAAATTAATATATTCAATACATGATCTCTATGTACATTCATTACAATAGTGTAAAGTATTTCAAATACTGTAAACGTTTTAATTACCAACTTCAAAAAATAATAAAGGGGCGCAATGGCCAATGGCTCAAAACTGTTGTCACGTGTCAGCCTAAGCAAACAAGCATCTGATGCTGTGAAGAATAATGCTAAAATTTCATTAAGGACACCAGGGTAGGCTAGATGGAATTCTGCATATCATAAGTCAAATTTTAAACCCAAGATTAAAAGAAAAGCACCCCAAATCATGAATGCATTGAAATTGTATTGTTTTAAACCAGTGAAGTTTGACGTATTAGAAGAATACAAGCAATTTATGAAACCTATTGCTGTTACTCTGGGCAAAGTTTAAGAGGAGAATGTTTGTTTTCTGGGATTACTCATGCCAAACGTTCAGCAAGTTCGTAAGAAACTTGTGATGTTTATTCGAAAAGATATATATTTAATAAAATTTATTTTAATTTATTTTTTGTATTTTAATTACTTTTGCTTAAAAGCATTTTATATTTGAACTTTAAACATTTTTGGCCTAGTATTTGTATTTAAAATACTTTTTTAAAAGTAACTTTTACAACACTGATTATAATATTTTTATTCCAAAAAATTTAAAAATAAATTTAAGGAAAATCTAAAAAATAACTATTCTTTAAGATCTAATAAACTATTTACTAATAAACTACCCCGAAAACAAACAAAATATAATGAGTACAGTATAAAATATACAATCGTGTGCAGTAAAATAGTAGTGCGTATTTTATTTTTCTATCAACAAACTTTGAACATCAAAATATATTTTTCTAGAAAAATTTCAACTTAGCTTTCATCAGTCCACAAAACATTTTGCAATTTTTCTTTAGGCCAAGAAGCATGCATACGTGCAATTTTTAAACGATTTTTGATATGTCTTTTAATCAAAAGTGGCACTTTTTCTAGGTGTTCTTGCATTTAAATTGGCATGTATTAATCTTCTTCGAATAGTTGAGGTATTAACATGTAATTCTAGTCTTTCTTTAATTTTTCTAGAAGTAATAAATGACTCCTTTATCGCTACAATACAATACAACGATCTTCTATAGCGGTAGTTGATCTTTTATTTCCACGTTTTTCTGGTTTGGGTTTCCATTTTAAAACATTACAAATCGTTGTTGGTGAGCATCCAACCAATTCTTGTATTTGTTTGTAGGTTTTACGATGATTTTTAAAATTTATAATTAAATTACGAACTTCTTCAGTACAATGCTTAGAGCACCCCATGTTTCTATAAAATTTCAAAATTTTAGTAAGTGTATAAATTTATCT